TATGAAATTGAAGAATACATTGTATCAGATTTCACATATTTAATCTGTCTTTTACTACCGTGGATGTGTCTTGGATTACTTCCTGATTTTAAAAAGTGGATGTTAAAACTACTACGTCATGTAAAAAAACCACCGAACGCAGTTGGAACAACAACACAAAGAACTCGCTATAACTAAAATTTTTTTATTAATATTTGTACATATTAGTAATGTTTGATTATTTTTTTTCCTTCTCAGATTATAGTTATTATGTTAGAAAATTTCAATAAAAGTATTTAATAGTATTGAAAATCTAATGTACTTCTATTTAATCATGTGATCATTTTCTGGATTGATGGAGTTTATCGTGCAGAATACTATAAGTTCAGAATATATATGACGAATGATTGCTTTTCCTTCTTCTAGCTGGAGAATTCACTGATTTCAATATGAATAAGATATTTTTCTTTCATAAATTATTCACATTTGATTACTCCAATTGTGTTTTAGAAATTCTCTCAAATCGAGTTTTATATGCTTTTTTTTGTATACTGTAAAAATATACGGAGATATGAAAGATCATAAAAATATCAGGAATATTTTTATTGAGTTTAATGGTACTTTCAGACAAATTAATCTTGAGTATGTGGGTATTTGATAGAAAAGATATTCATATCCACGCTCATTATATTTACATATTAGTGATTTTCTTTATAAAAGTTCTTCTTTATCAAATTGAAACACGCATATGAAGTTACAAAAATACATTTATTTGAAAGATATTAAAACAATAGTTTTATTGAATTAAAAAGAACATCAAGTTAACGCACAATACGAATATGAATGATATAATTGTAGTACGTGATCATTGATATAAGAGAAGTGCAATATTATCGATATCACCATCATTGTAGGAACCGACTACAAGTGTCATAGTCACTTGAACTATGAACGCACGGGCACCAACCGGTACAAGACCAGTAGCTTGTCGAAAGAGTAGTGATGTTATATTATCACGATCTATAGCTAATACCGGCCCAAGAATGGTGCTATTGCCCACATTTTGATTGCTTTGATTTAAGAATGTTAACGACACTTGAGCATTATCATCTTGATCTAAATAACCACCAATCCATGCAGAGAAATTAAACTTAACTTCTTGATTATCAATAAGACGAGCATTGATTGAAATGGTCATATTACCAGTTTGCCACATTGTAGATACAGCCGAGCATCCACCATAGAAATGACATTTTCCACGATTACTACAAAAAAAAGAATCTCAAAACAAATTATTTCTAAACTTTTGTTTTACCTAGGTCCTGGACTAGTAAGCATTTGATCTCCTTCGAAATTCCCGTAATACATTTGTATATTCGTTCCACTATAAGACCAATCTGTTGGATGCGTCACACCATAACCTGTTTCACAAGGACCAGTCTCTGCATCACCGTTTGACACCCAATTGCCTTCAGACTCTAAATATAGACAAAAATAAGACAGAAAGTCTACTAAAAAATCTAATATCAGATCTGTCATTCATTTAAAAATTTACGATT